CAAGCTCTGCCCCCCTCCGTCACCTCCCACCTCCCGAGGGACCCCTGTCCTCAGTCCAGGGCCAGCCCCTGACTCAGGCTCACGCGCCTCCGCGGCCGCCTGCCCCTTTGTGTGGTGGAGACGCAAACAAGGAAGCCTTGTTCTTTCCTGAGGATGAGACACAGCGGACCTGCCAGGCTCCTCTGCTGCCTCCACCCCAGAAAGTGGGGCTCTCCACACAGGAGGGGGCGGCACAGACCCACTCTCCTGCAGGGCCGGGTCCCTGGCTGCACGGCCGGCCGCATCCCCGTTTTACTGATGAGGAGGCTGAGATTCCGAGCAGGAAGGGTTGACATCGAGGTCATGGAGAGGGCTGGAGAGGGCCCGGGGGCTTGCTTGTAGCCCCTGAAGTCCTTTCTCCCCTCTGTTAACTGGAAATAGCCTCAAGGACAACCAGACAATGGGCTTGTTAGATAATCAAAGTGAGGGAAGTCGGCCCCCAGGCTGTCCCCTGCGGAGCTGTTCCAGTGAGCACAAGTTGGGCTTTGCGTTATGCAGCTAGAAGCGGACCCTGACGCTGGGAACAGACTGACGCTGGGGAGAGGGCCTTCTCGGTCTAGGTTGTCCCAGCCTAACGACAGGCCAATGCCAGAGGATTTGCTCTCTTCCTGCTAAAGTCAGCCCTGCAGACATGCTAAGGCTGGGGGATGCACTTTATTATTTAAAAAAAAAAAACCTTTTCCTGGCTCCTCGGTCCCCAACAGGTGTGACCGAGTGTGACACCCCACGGGTGTGACAAGGCGCTTTTACCTCCAGGCAGCAAATTCCAGCAGCGGCCACAAGGTGGAGCTGTTCTAACTGACCGCCACCCGAGGTCGTCCTCTTGCCTGCTCCACCTGTGGGGTGGGGGACCCCAGAAAATGTCACTGTGTGTTCACACCTCTCTGGCTCTGTTTCTCTGACAGATCCTCTCACCCCGTTTCTCTAGAGGGGGCAGCTCCAGCTTCAGGGCTTCTTTCTTCTCCGTGCCTGGCACCGGGCACCGCCTGTCCCCCACAGACGCTAATTCTGGCCCTCTGACCACCAATTTAATTCCACAACTAGCCACCCCCGGCCGTCTTATTTTTCTCTTCTCCCACGGCATTAGTCACCAGATGATGCAGCGCGGGCTGGAGCGCGTGAGAATTGACTTAAATTTGCAGTTATGTGAGCGGGTAGATGTCACATTGGTGGCTTGAAATCAGTCGTTATATAAGTATTTTTGCTCAAGAGTCTGCAGAGGGCCTCCCTGGTGGCGCAGCGGCCTGAGCACAGCGCTGTGAAGCTGTCACAGACTCTGCAACGTGGGTTCAATTCCTGGCCAGCCAAGGAGATACGCACATGGCACGGCAGACCTCTCCTGTCTCGCCCGCCCGCTGCTCCCCTCAGCAGTGTCTTCGGTCTGTCTGCCTGTTCTGCTCCCCTCTCTGTCTCTGGTGATTCCTCTCACCCTCCCGTGCATCTGGCCTGTAACCCAGTTCTTGTATAAGTAAATAAATAAATCTTAAAAAAACAATAAAATAAAATAAGTAGGGGTGTTTTTGCCCCTTTGTTTCCCTCCTCCAGACGAGATAGTTGACAGATACTCTAGAGATCACAGAAGGAAAGTGAACAGGTTCTGCTTTCTGCAAGTGGCAGCTCCCCCTGCGCTGGCTGCATGTGGGCCCCCCTTGGGATTGAGGGACCCAGCTGGTGGGCCCTGGGTCAGGCTGTGCCCTCTGCTTCCTTAGCCCCACTTCCTGTGCCTGTCTTTCTAATTCAACATAGACAAGGTGGAACCACCACCACACTTTGCTTTAGAACAGGGAATGGGTTCCTTTCTTCTGTAATCACTTCTGTTATTAATGTGGGTTAATTCACATAAAATACAGCTAACCATTTAAGCACTGCAATTCTTTGGTGTTAAGTGCATCCCCAGTATTGTGTCCCTAGCACCTCAGTCTAGTTCTAGAACATTCCATCACCCCAGAAGGACGCCTAGTGTCTATCAGTCTTTGCATCCCCCTCCCCTAGCCCCTGGCACTGCACATCCACTTTTCATCTCTGTGGATTCTCAGAGCCCCGTGGGTCCAAGCCCCCCAAGCCTGGACACCCCCCTACTCCCCCACACGCCTCTCCCGGCTCCAGACCTGCCTATTCTGTGGGTGTCTGCAGCCTGGGTGAGCAGCAGGCACCATGTTGGTGACACACAGCAAATCCCTCAGGGCTGTGACATCATCGCCAACACTTCTGCACCAGGCAATGGCCCACCTCCCCATGGGAAGCCCAGGACCCACCAACGATGAAGTGGGGGTGGTGGAGCAGTAACCCCCTCAGACATAGTCCCCCAGGCTTTGGCCACAATGGACATGTCAGTGACCCCTGCTAGGGTATTCAGGGGCTGGCTGACTGGTGCGTGGTGGACAATGAGCAGAGGGACTGGGGTGGGCAGGCCATAGTTGGGCAAAGGGTGGCTCTATGAGCTGGAGCAGCCCCTTCCAATCTAGATGCTTCTGTGTAGTCATTAGGCTGCCACTCAACCTCTATCTCCCCTCATTCTCTCTGTCCCTGAGGCAGGAAGTGACAGGCAGGGAGTGGGGGATGGGGCATCCAGTGTTGGAGTTCAGTAGGGAACCAAACAGCCCTCCCCTGTCCTCACTGCTCCAGAACTCCCCAAACAAAGGGCCAGGAGGCCCCCAAAACTGGCCAGTGGTGTGGAGAGTTATCCTCCTGGGAAACAGGCCCCAGCCTCTCCTGGCCCCTGCCTGGCCCGAGGCCTGCAGTACCCTGCTGTGGTGGGGGGAGGGCACAGAATGTCAGGACTTGAGGGGCTGGGACCCTCCTGGGAAAAGGCTTCCTGCCCAAGCCACTGAGGACTTCCTCTGGGTGGGGATGATGCTGGGAAGGGGGGGGGTCAAAGGGCAGCCTGGTGCATGGGAAGCTCCGATGGGGGGGCTAGGTAGGGGGATAGATGGAGGACCTCAGCCCCTCCCTGCCCAGCAGCTCCAGCGTATTCATCTCCCAGGAATGCCAGATGCTGGCAGGAAATGAGGTTCAGGAAATGGAGGTCCCCAACAGCGCCAGCCTCTGGCTCCCAGGGGTTCCCCTGTACCTCCTAGGGTCCAGGCCCTCCTTCCAGGGCCCTGACCACTTTCCCTCCCTCCTCCTTCTCCCTCCCTCTCTGTGTCTCTCCCCCCCCCACCCCTTCCCCCACCCCCCAAAACCTTCCCCTGGCCAGCCCACCTGTCCCCTCCTGGAGAGGGTCCCACCCACCTCCTGGCCCCCCAACCCCATCTGGTTCTCCTTGACACTGACTTTCGAGTAGTGAGAGCTGTGGGAGGTGAAGGCTGGTTGTCCCAAGGGTGGTGCTCTGAAGGGGTTTCTTGGAAGGGTGTGGGGGCAGCAGTGGGGGAGGAGGGCCGGGAAAGCTGGATCATACCCTGCAAGTGGCCTCAGCAGCAGGAAGCTGGGACGCTGCCAATTCACTGTGCCTGCTGCCCCCTGCCCGGGTTAAGAGCCCAGCTTCCCGAGGAGGCCCCACACCTCCGGCCTGGGGATGCAGCATCTTGGAGCCTACCTTCCTGTGCCGCCTTCCCGGCATCGGAGGGGGAGGGCCGAGGAAGAGTCGGGTCACACACCTGAACCCTCACCTTGCTTTGCCAGGGGTCCAGCCTCCCCCTTGCTCCCAGCCCCTCCTCTGGACCTCACTTCTGCTCCTCACAGGTGCCGAGCAGAGAAGACACAGAGGCCGGAGCTGGTGGGGCTGGAGGCCCGTCACCTGGTTGGCCCTTCTTAGTCCAAAGTCAGGGAAACTGAGGCAGACACTACACCCTGAGGTTGTTGGGGGCAGTCCAATCTGTTCTTTCTTGCCTGCTTGCCTGTTGTGGCAAGGGGTCTGGGTTAATGGTGGGGGTGGGGCAAGAGAGCAGACGACACCCCCCCCGCCCCCCCACCCCCCCCCCCCCCGCTCAGGGGAGCTGGGACTTCAGCTATATGACCACGGTAAGGGCTATGAGGAAAATGCACTGAAAGTGGCACAGAGGAGGGGTCGGTGGGGGGTGTGGAGCACTCTAAGGTGGCAACACATGGGAAGACACTGGGTGTGGTGAAAGTACAGCCCGTGCAAAGGCCCTGGGGCTACCGTCAGGTGTGGGGAGACAGCGTGCTCAAAGGATGTCTCTGCAAGCACTCTGGGTGCCGGGGGGTGAGTCACCATGAATGGGCACACAAGAAATGGGGCCAGGCTGAGGGGCCCAGGGGACTTGCTGCAATGGTGAGGGCCTGGCTAGGGTCCCTTCCTGGGTCTCTCCTGTGGCCCCAAAACTAGGTCCCTAAGCAGAACACAGAGCAGAGGGAGCCCATGGCCAGGCCTGCAGGCCCTCACCACGGTGCCCACTTGACAGAGCAGAGACGTGAGCAGAGGTAGGAGGTGACAGTCCAGGCGCTGGTGGGCCTCAGTCACCTAAGGACACCAGCCTTTCCAAGAGAATATGACCCCCAAGATCCCCCCTCCCGGTGGCTCAAGGAGACCTCACCCCCAAGACCCTCACCCCGGAGGACCCTGCTCCCAGAGACACCCCCAGCAGGGCAGCTGGAGCTGCAAGACTACACTCACCCCCCAGGCTGCTGGGCAGTGAAGGGGAGAGTCCCCGGCACTGGGCTGGCCCCTGCACCAGCCTGGGCCTGGGTGGGGACTCCAGTCCCTCCGCAGCCACCTTCCTGGGCCGCCCCCTCCCGCCCTTCCCATGCCCAGCGCCCACACCTGGATTCTGCCCAGACCTTCCCGCCCATTCTCCTGATCGCTGCCGCCCCCCCATCTCTGGCCCCCAGCCCCCCCTCTCCAGGGAGTGGGGGGATCAGGCCGGAGAAACCCTCCTCTGGAAACCCCCTCCCCCAGCAGCTGCAGGACGGGGAGGGGGTAGAGTCCCGGGGCACCAGGAAGGAGCCCCGGGCGCCGCTATATAAGCCACTCCCCGCCGGCCCGGCCGGGGCAAGGCGGCAGCATGGAGCGGGGCCTGGCCCTCCTGCCCCTCCTCGTGGGGCTCCTCCAGCCAGGCCGCGGCCACGGAGGAGGTTTCCAGAGGGGAGGCCGAGGAGCGAGGAGGGCGCTCCCCAGGGAGCGGGTTCAGCGAAGAGGGGGCTCAGCCAAAGGGGGGGCTTGAGGGGAGGGACTGGCGCAGTGCGGGGCAGGGGAGGAGCGCGCTGTGGCTGGCGCGCAAATGGGGCTGGGGGCCTGGGGGGCCTGGGGGGTCTGGGGGGCCTGGGGGGCCTGGGGGTCCAGGCCTCTCTGAAAGCGCTCTGCCCGCAGGTGGGTCCCTGGAGGTGGAGCCCCCTGAGGCGGCCGTGGCCCTGGGCGGGTTTCTGCAGCTCACCTGCCGCCTGAGCTGCTCGGACCCTGCCAAGGCCTCTGTGGCATGGAAGGGCCTGGACACCAGCCTGGGCTGCGTGGAGCAGGCCGGGGAGAGCAGCGTGCTGACCGTGCGCAACGCCTCCCTGGCAGACGAGGGCACGCAGATGTGCCAGGGCTCCTGCGGGAACGTCACCCACCTAAAGACCGTGATGATCCGAGTGTTTGGTGAGCCCCACCCTCCAGGCACCTCTGCTCAGGCCAGGCCCACCCAGCGGCCCTGCTCTACCTCTGGCTCTGCGCCACCTCTTCCCAGAAGCCTTCCCAGATTGTCAACGGCCCCAAAGCCTGAGTCCAGTTACTCCTCGGTGGCTCAAGTCTGTCCCCTCTTCTCTGCATTACCACCACCAGGCCTCCCAGCTTTCATTCTCTGGGCCCCCAGCACCCCCAAATTCCACATCCCTGACTCCTTGCTGTTGCTGCTCTGGAGCCTTTCTCAGGACATAGCCACATGGGGGTTGGGGGTGACCACTGGGTCTTCCCAGTCCCGGTGCACCAGCAGCCCCCACTCACCCCACACCCCTCCTCAGGGCCCAGGCTGACTCTATGGTTTCAGCCCGCCCCTGAATTCTGTGGGTGGGTCCCCCACTTACGGGTAGCTCTCCTTCTCTGCGTTTGTCTCCATCCACAGCCTTCCCAGACCAGCTGACCGTGTCCCCAGCAGTGCTGGTGGCCAGGCGGGACCAGAAGGTGGCCTGCACAGCCCACAACGTCACTCCCTGTGACCCCGGCTCCCTTTCATTTTCCCTGCTCCTGGGGAACCAGGAACTGGAGGGAGTTCAGGTTCTGGGCAGGGAAGAGGAAGAGGAACCCCAAGACGGTGAGGATTTGCTGTTTCGAGTGACAGAGCATTGGCTGCTGCCCCCCTTCGAGCCCCCCATCCTGCCTACTCTCCACTGCCAAGCCACCATGAGGCTGCCTGGTTTGGAGCTGAGCCGCCGGCTCCCCATCCCAGGTGAGTCTACAGGGTTCCCTAAAAGGTGGACTCAGGTACAGGGCCCTAGTTTCAGGAACCCTGCACCTGCTGTGCCTCCATCAGATGGACCACGAGCCCCACAACGGTGGGAAGAGGCCTTCCATCCTTGGGGGTCCTTCTGGGAAGCCAGAGTGGTGCTTCACTTGCTTATTTCAACAGCTTGACCAAGCACTGACCCTGGACCCTGAGCCAGGCCCCATGAGGTCCTGTCCCCCACTGCCCACAGCCCCCTGGGGTTCCCAGTTCCCTCGACTGAAGAGCCCACATCCTCCCTGCATTACCTGCCCCTCCATCACCCCCCTCGCCTCTTTCCTCTTTCCCACCCCCCCCCCCCCCCTCCAGTCACGGAAGGATCCTCACTGTCTATCACACCAGGCTGGTTCTGCCCCAGGGCCTTTGCATGAGCTGTGCCCTTTGGAATGTTCTAACTGCAGCTCTCTCACTGGCTCCCCCTCACCTCCCTCAGGTCATCTTCCCACAGAAGCTTCCCCTGACCTCCCTATCTAAAGGGTCACCACCCCTTTTCACACATGTACATGTATGTACACAAACACACTGCTGTGTTTCTTGACACTTTTGATCAACATCTGTTCTCATTATTATTTCTATCACCTCCTGGGAAGTGGAGATGGGCCTACGCCTCCCTCCCCTGTGTCTGTCTTGTTCATGGCTGTATCCCCAGTGGCTAAACTGTGCCAGGTACACAGTAGGTACGCTGAACATAGTAGGTGCTCAGGAGGTACATTCTGATGAGAAAATGAAGTGTTCCGGTGCTTAGCACACAGTGGGTGTTCTGTTCAAGCCAGATGTGATTAATGTAAGCAACACGTGTGTGAACTGGGGCAGGAAGTGCCCACATCATGAAGACCTGCCAACCACACACCAGAAAGGCAGGGGTTCTCGTTCTCTGTCAGGGCACCCTGAAACTCACCTAAATGTGCTTGAGGTCACTGAGAAGATTGGAGCAGAGAGCTCCCAGGGGAATAGGGTAGAGGTCGGGGCCAGAGAGGGCTGTGGTGGGAGGACCCGCCATGAAAACCACCAGAGTTGAAAGGTGTCTTATGGTAGGACATACAAATCCGCCTCCCCTGCGCCCTCAGTCTCCCCATCTGCGCCACAAGATGGAGCAGAAAACCTCTCTCACCTTCTCACTCCTGGGGCCAACCCTCCCCTCTCCCACTTCCCAGTCCCCTAATAAAATCCAGTACTCACTGATCCTCACTCTCCAAGGCAGCCCCCTTTACAGTTGGGGAAAGTGCTGGGGTGGGGGAGCCCTGACTAACCCCAGGCCTCCTCGGACCCACTGGGTTGCCCTCCGATTTGCCCAAGTGACCCAGGAGAGGTTCTGATCCAGCCCTGTGGTCCAGATAGAGAGACTGAGACAGGACAGGGGCGTAAGGCAGCAAGGAGAAAAACCAATCACCCCCTTTTCCAGTCCTGCCCATCTCCACTTCCAAGGAGCCCCTGGTTACAACCTCCCTGCAGACCACCCCGGAGCAGGATTCCAGCCTCCACCCTCCAGCCTCCACCCTCCAGCCTCCACCCTCCAGCCCCTGGAGTCCTGGCCTCACACCTGACAACAGCTCCACCGGACCCTGCCACCTCGAGATCCACCAGTCGCCAGTGCCAGGGGGTCTGGAGCTGCTGTGTGAGGCCACCTGTGGCACAGAGGGGACCGTGCACTGGACCCAGGCCCCCGGCGGTCTGGCAGCCTATGAGTGGCGGAAGGCCGGAACCCGGGCCTGGCTGAGCGTGCAGTGGGCTAAGTGCAGCCCTGAGGGCTGGTTCCAGTGTCAGCTGGATCCAGGGGGCCGGAAGACGAACCTCTATCTGGTTCCGGAAATGTGTGAGTTTTAGGGGCTGAGAAGGAACAGGTGGGAGCTGGGAGGGAGGGAAGCCTCACAATAAAACTGTAAGCAAGGAAGTGCTGCCTCAGTTTCCCCAATTGTCCACTGGGCATCCCAACAACGCTGTAACAGTCACCTGGCAAGACCACGGTGGAATTCCATGTAGACTGGAGCCACGCACATTTCACAGCACTTGGTAAACTCTAAGTTTTATAGATTACAAGTCTGTGTGATAGAAACGGGATGGTCACTTAATTAATTTTGAATTTTCTAGTAGCACAGAGAAAAAGTAAAACTGAGTTTGATGATGTATTTTATTAAACCAGTATACCTCCAACATCACCTTCCCCACAAATCTTCAAAGTGTGCCCTGCGTTTGATCTGACAGCCCCTTCTGTTCAGACTGGCCACGTTTCCAATGCGGGCACTGCGAGCGGTTAGAAGTGGACAACCCACTTCTAACTGGAAGGTCTTATGTAAATTTCAAAAGATTCGCTCTAAACCCTGTGGCTATTTCCGGGGGGGGGGGGGGGGGGTGTGCTCATTTCAAATGGTACAAATGTAAAGTTAAATTGTAGAATTGTAAACTGTCAAGTCCTTTGTAAAATTTCAGGTGAATTGAGAAGCCCGTTGCCAACTGTGCTGGGTTTCTCTGCAAAACCTGCAGAGGGGTTCAGGGCACCTGGTGCTTCTTCCCCAGGTTACGCCTCAACGTCCCCAGATCTGTGGACAGGCAGCTTGGTGCTGGGGCTGCTCCTCCTAGCACTCCTCGCCTATCGCCTGAGGAAGCACTGCCAGCCTGCCCGCTGACCACCCCTACCAGCTCCCCTGGGCCTCCTGCCCCACCTGGACCCGAGGGCGGGAACAGGCGTGGCCCCTCCTCACGTGGCTGGCTTTCCTTCTGCTTGGCTGCAACCAGAGGACCTTGCAGGGTTGTGAACAGGGCAAGGGGTTGCCAGGGGACCCTTGCACTGACAGCCCCAGCACCCGCAGCTTCCTCAGCTGGCTGTTTCTCTTCAGTGGGGCCCCTGGAGACACACCCCCGAACAGGGCCGAGCTGGAGAATAAATGGTATCTGGTCTGAGTTCCGTGGTTCCGGTCGTGATTTGAAGATGCTGCAATCCTCTGTGTACCTATTCTCTGTACTGGTGACTCCCAGAAAGGAGATAGCCAGACTCTAGCCCCGCCGGCCAGGTATCCGGGAGGGGAGGGAGTAAGACGGGGCTTGCTCCGCCCAAGAGCGGGAGGACACAAATACTTGCGCCTGTGCCTGGGTGTGGGGACAGGGGCGCTTACGCAGTCACTAGGGGTCCTCAAAAAAGCAGGGAACGTATTTGGTGGGGAAAGACACAGCGGAGAAGCGGCTTTTTAAGGGGAGCTGCATCTCTTTTGGGTGGCGGTAGGCTCGGGGGAGCGGGCAGAGGTGAGCAAGCGGGAGCCCCCGGGGACCCCTCGACGCCTGGGACTGAAGCCCGCGGACGCTGGGGAGCCGAGGCAGAGGCTCGCGGGACCGCAGGTTCCATCGAAGCAAGATCCCTCTGGTGGTGAAGACGAGTACAAGCCCAGGAGGGGCAGCGGAATCGGAGACGGTCCATTCGCGCGAACACGCACTCGGGGATGGCGAGTGTGGGAACCCGGAGCAGATCCCCAGTCCCGCCGGGGGTGGCGGGGCTTCACCCACCCGGCGAGCCACAAACTCGGGCTATAAACTCGGGCTGGGCGAGGGGAAGGGCGGGCTGGGTGCGAAGACCCAGAAGAAAATCACAAAAGGGGGCGGGCGGGAGCGGCGCACAGCCGGGCGTCTGGGCGGACCTTCCCTCCCCAGCCCCGCGGGGCTTCTCTGGTAACCAGGGAGACTGGTTGCTAGGGAAACACTCTAAAAAAGGACTCGCCCACTACCAAGATGGCCTGCTTTGCGGCTTCATGCCAGAAACTAAGCCCTTCCTAGGTAGCCATCTTGGAGTCTGGCAAGACTCACGTTAGGGGTCTAAACCCGCCGGCACGCAACGGAGAAAACGAAAGCTCGGAATTCCTGTTAGAACCTACGGGAAAGGATGGCCGGCTGCGGTCAGTTCAGCGTTCCCCCGCCCACGGGAGCTGGGAACTTCCTGCCCTTAACCAAGATGGCCGCCGAGGCGCCACGGCACTATGAAATATGGCGGCGCTTCCGGTCCCGCTGCCCTCAGCGAAGATGGCGGCAGTGGACAAGCGACGGCCGGCGTCGGTCCAGGCGGCCAGTTTCCCGGACAGCGGCCGGCCGGCGGTGTCCCGAGCGACGGCAACGGCCGAGAGCGAGGAGGACTTCCTGCGGCAGGTCGGCGTGACGGAGATGCTGCGCACAGCCCTGCTGAAGGTGCTGGAGGCGCGACCCGAAGAGCCGATCGCTTTCCTGGCGCACTACTTCGAGAACATGGGACTGCGCTCGCCGGCGAGCGGCGGCGCCGGGGAGCCCCCGGGCCAGCTCCTGCTGCAGCAGCAGCGCCTGGGCCGCGCGCTGTGGCACCTTCGCCTGGCTCATCACTCCCAGAGGTGCGGGGCGGGGCGGGGCCGGGCTGGGTGGGTGGGGGCTGCGGCCCGGCTTTCAACCTCCAGTGCCCCGCGTGGCTCCCGGGCCGACGCGCGGAGCTTGCTAGGCTGCTGGATGAACCCAGACAAGGGTGCGGGGCGTGCATCACCCGGGGTAGCTTGCAACTCTAGCCAGCTTTGCCTCCTGTGATGCCTTATTGCAAATTCTGAATTTCACCACTTTTGAAAATCATGGAGCCCAGGGAGGATTTGGTCCAGGGTCAGCAGCGGAGCAAGTCCTGTCAGCCAGTACCCTCCTGGCTGCCTTTTTACCAGCATCCATTAAGCCAGAAAATGAGTATTTACAGGACTGGGCTGGGGAGATATGGAGCAGCCCATTCACTCAAGGTCCCACTGCTGACATCAGGGCTTCTCTGTGGAAGGCTATACGCGGTACTGAGGGGGACTGAATCACATCCCTAGCCCCATTCATTGGACACTAGAACCACCCCCCCCGTTTAACAACCACAGATCCCCAGACGTTCCCAGACATTGCCCAGTGTCCACCTTGGGGCAGGATTTCCCCTGTTGCTTCCTCTGCCCCCCACCCCACCCCACCAAGAATCGCTAAAGTGAAGTCTCCTGTGTCACTTTCTGGACACATTCATAAATATATATGTATATATTTTTTAATTGCTCTGTGTAGCGCTGACACGGATGACGCCTACAATAAATAGCTAATGCCTACATCACAGATGGTGAAACTGAGGCCCAGAGCCCATGGTCCCACCATGGAGCCAAGATTTGAGCCCGGACTTGCCAGGTGCAGAGCTTGTAGCCACCATGATTCAGCAGATGATTTCACAGGGAGTGTACAAGCCTCCTGGGCCGGGGGAGCCCCTGGGGCTTGGAGGTGAGACCTCACCTCGAGACTGGGTGTCGGAGCCTCTGGGCCTCTGCCCAGTCTTCCCTCATGACTCTGATCTCACTGGGCTGTAATTACCCCTCTGTGCATTTTACTGCCCCTCAAGGCCAGGAGCATCCAATAAACATCTGCACAGCCTGGCTGAATCCCAGCCCTGGTTAAACCAGTGGACGTGTCCAACCTAAGCACCCTGCCTGCGTCCTGCAAGAGCCCTGAGGTGCCAGTGAGGAAGGCAGAGACTGACATGCATGTGGATCCCTGGAAGAAGTGGGGGGAGGTCCAGGGAAAGCTATACACAGAGGTGCTCCATGAACACTTAGGGACCCCAATTTTGGCTGCTCTGACTGCTGCCTCCAGAAAGGAATGAACTAATTCCAAAAACGGGCCAACAGGTTCCAGAAGAGAGGCCTTGGCGCAGTCAGTGATCGCAGGCCATCTGGGTATCCGTCAGGATGAGCAGTCACTCATGGTTACAGACAACCCTGAAACCTCTGACCTCAGCACACCGAAGTTTCTCTTTTCGCCTATACCTCAGGAGTCAGCAGGGGCTCTGCTCACAGAATCTTGCCATGAGCTTACAGTCAGGGCAGTGGGGAGCAGGCCATGGGGACAGTGCAGATGCTGTTAAAATGGCCATTGAGAGGGGACCTCATGTCCTATGCTTGAGTCTCAGTGGCCGAAGCCAGCTCAGGGCACAGCCTCACTTGGGGGTCCCGAGGGCTGTGGTAGGGGGAGCCGGTGGAGAATTGTTGATGGCTCCATGGCTGCCAGCCCTGGTGTTCGTGCCCCGTCCCGTCCCCTCCCATGTCTGCAAACCAATGGCACCAGATTTGCTACCCAGACACAAGGAGAGTGGCTGTGCCTGCACTCTGTATAGGGGCTCCCTGCTGATGATTGGCCAGGACCCCAGGTGGGGAGCACGAGGCCCCGGCTCTGGCCTGACATGGTGTGGCTATACTCCGGCTGCAACCTCCTGAGAGACAGAGCCTCCCATCAGGTCTCTGACATAGAAACAGAGAGGTGATAGATGCTTGTTCTGCTTCAGGCCACTGGGTCATTGTAACGTAAGCATCCTCACAGATGCCTGCTGTTGACTCACACCAGACCATCCCAAACTTACTTTTCTGGTGAAAAGAGTGAATAAAAGCCCCCACGGGGTTGTTATGAGGCATCTGGGGGAGTGGTGGCAACTGTGTTGATGGGAGCAAGTGTGGCCTTTCATGAGCCACAACTGCCCCTCCCCCCACAGTGTGTCAATGAGGGCCCAAAGATGGGGGGAAAGAGAGGGGTTTATAGCCAGATGGGCTGAGGACCGAGTCCCTCTGGGAGAGAGACCCCAGACAGCTGCACTCCCACCTCTGGGTCTCGGTTTCCTCCTCTCTAAGGGGCTTCAGTCCAGGGAGTTACTGCCCAGCACAGCAGTGGTGCCTGGGCGGCGCCCGTGTGCTGGATCGGCCTGCACGCTGGCCTGCGCCATGTAATCAGTCAGAAGGCGGTGACTGCTACGAAAAAATGTAGGAGGGGCTAGAGAATCAGGGCAGACCCCACTGAAAAGGTGGCATTTGAGCAGACTCCAGTCGCGGGAGCCCGAGGAAGGGCACTCCAGGTGGAGGGCACAGCCGGGCGAGGGCCCTGTCCAGCCACGACAGGTGCGCTGGAGAACAAGGGGGGGGCGGAAGCCGTGCAGGTGGTGCTGGCTCTGCACTGGCCCAATGCCCCTCTGCCCGCAGGACGGCCTTCAACAACAACGTGGGCGTGGCCTACGAGTGCCTGAGCGCCAGTGGGCTCAAGAAGAAGCCAGGGCTGGATGGACGCACCTACAGTGAGCTGCTCAAGCGCATCTGCCGGGACGGGGAGGCCCCCGAGGAAGTCGTGGCGCCGCTGCTACGCAAGATCCAGTGCCGGGACCACGAGGCGGTGCCTCTAGATGTCTTCCGCACTGGCATGCTCACCTGCTTCGTGCTGCTGGAGTTTGTGGCTCGGGCCAGCGCGCTCTACCAGCTGCTGGAGGACCCCACCCTGGCCGTGGCTGACCGCCGTGTGGGCCAGGCCGTGCTGGACACCCTGGAGGGAGCCCTGCAGGCCGGCGACAATGCCACGGCACCCGCCCGCTACCTGGAGGCCGGCTCCCGCCTGGGGCCTGACAGCCTGGCGCTGGCCATGGACCGTGCTGTGGTGGCCAGACGACCTAGCAACCCCATGACGCGGGAGGAGTTCCTGGAGAAAGCGGCCACCCTCTTCATTGCCAAGGTCAAGCCGGTGGGCTGAACCCCCTCCTCACACTTGCCTGCTCCCTCTGCCCAGACTGGGGACGTAGGCATACAGGTCTATCTCACCGGATCCGGGGTGAACACGGATCGGGGCCAGGACCCGGCTGCCCTGCATGCAAAGGAAGTGCAGGAAGCCTCCCCCACACCTAGCTTCCTGCCAGGAATGATGCCCTAGCCCCTTCGGTGGGGAGCCCAGGACCCCAGTAATAATAAAGTATATCCCCAAGGCTGACCTGGTGTGTGTGCTCCCCCACTTCCCAACACCATGTCCACAAAAATGTTCCTCCACTCAGACCGCACACCTGCCACACTTGCCAGACAACACCTGGACATGCAGGTGCCCCTGCGTTCAGCTTTCTGGGAGCAGAGAGCAGTGAGTGCCCTGTACCCACCAGTTCCAAAACCCAGTAGGTCCAGCCTGAAGGCTCTGGATAGGACCAGTCCCCGAGCTAGGATCCCCCACAGGCCCTGCCCAGTTAGTTCCTGCCTGACCCGCGGCTTCCAGGTTGTCAGAGGCAGAGCTCAGCTGGGCAGGTAATAGCAGAGTAGCCACTTCCAGCTCCTGCAGTGTTCACGGCCCAACACTACCCTATAAGGAAGGTAAATTACTCCCCTGTTTGGCAGGTGGGGAAACTGAGGCCCTGGAGGTGAAGAGTCATGCTGTCAGCAAGGGGCCCAAGTAAGGATTCCAACCCAGGCCCCGCTCCAGAACCCACCCCATGCTGTGACTGCCCCCGCTGTCCAGTCTTTGCAGAACCAACACGGATCTGTCCAGTCCCTCCCACCAAGACCCCATGGCCCTTCTCTCCTCACGTCCCCTCTCAGGAGTGGGGCCGTTCCTTACATGTAAAATCCAGGGGAGCAGGATCAGGTCTGGGGCTGGGACAGTGGCTGGCAGGTGATCCTCGCCCCGTCCCCTCCTCCATGAGCAGGAGTCAGCCCTAGCCGGGCCTTTCTTAAGTACACCATGGCAGGCCACCTTGCCTCCCACCTCCCACCCTGCCTCGGTGTAGGGCCGGCAAGGAGCCAACATCCCAGACCCCACGCCCTTCCAGAACCTCACATGTTTTCACAACAGCCACGACAATAATTTCCATTTGCTCACTTTTCCAGAAGCTCATGTTTTCCACAGTAGACAAAGTAATACAATATTCGACACTCCCAGAACCCCGTGAGTCTTCCACAGAAGACACATTTCTGTTTGACTCTTCCAGAACCTCACTACTTCCCGTCAAAAGGCAGAGCAAGTGGTGGAAACTGTGTCACCTCTCCTTGAACGTGACTTCTGTGACACTGTACAATGCCCAAGGCAAGGTCATAAAGGCAACCCCCTCCACGGGACATGCCCAGGGCTCAGCCTGTCACAAGGAGGCTTGGAACCGATCCTGCTTTGCAGATTCCTGAGCTAGAGAAATGTTCTTGTTTTAGCTACCAGTTGCTTTGTTACGCGGCAAAGGGTGACCGGAAACTAAAGATCAGTGCCCCACTCGCCAGTGTAAGCTCTAACGACCGCCAGTGGAGATGGTACAAGTGTGGGCACAGGGTCCCCACAGTCTGGGGACCACTAAATGGGGCTGGCAACACTGGACAAAAGGGGGCTGAAGCCACTGCCAGCATGTAGCCCACAGCTGGGCAGATCTGCATTAAGTGCCCCACTGTCCTGAAGGCCAGGCCAGGGTCGCCGGCATAGGTGGTTCCGAGAACACATGGACCCAAGTACCTTGTAGGTAACTGGACCATAGGGGCATCACTCCCTCCTGGTGATCAGAAACTGACACCAGTGTGTACTGGGTCTTGCGGGTGCCCCCCGGTCCCCACCCAGCTGCCCTGTGAGGCGCACGTGGCCCTGCAGGCTGTATACCTCCCTCGGCAGTGTGGCCAGAGTAGAGACCAGGTACAAAAAACTGTCCCCTTGCTTCAGGTAGAGTGAACTCGGCAGCTCACATTCCAGGCTCTATCCCATCAGGCGGAGGCCAGCTCCAGCCAGGACCACCTCCCCTGCACCCCGCCTTCCTCACTGCCCGAGTCACCACCACACCTGACCCAGGGCCCAGAGTCCCGTTTGTCATGATCCCAGTTGGACTGTGGCCGACAGTCTTCAGCTGACCTATCCTGAAGCCCCTCGCATAGAATGAACACGGAATGTGCAGCCCTCCCCTCTGCAACCCCCCTTCCCGGCGTCCCACGCCTCCGCACGCCCTGCCCATGCCTCCATGATGCTTCTTCCCAGGCCTCCCAGGAAGGTCTCCTCTTTTCCCAGCTTCTCTGCCTTCCTCCAGGGCCTCTCCTTGCCCCTAGAATGCTCTGCGCTTGGTGTCTTAGCATCTATGGCTTCACTTGCTGCCTGGTCCCCCAAGATTCTAAAGTCACGTCGTGGACTGGCCCTGCACCTCCGCCCTCCCCCCACCCCAGCACCACGGCCTGCTGGGCCCGAAACCTGGAGGGCAGACCTGTGGGCAGCAGCCAGACCTGGGGTTCCTCTGGAGTGTCTGGGCTCCTCCATGTAGCTCCCGGCCCTTCCTGGCAGCTAGGCAGAGCCTAGGATTGACTGCCCTCCTCCTCCCCATAAGTTGACCCCAAATTCTCGTGGTTCCTCAGCTGATGCTCACCCCTTGGTATAGCCAGCATCCCTGTGATGTGGGTGACACCCCGCAAGGGAGTGCTCCAGGAACCTAGGTATGTGACTCCTCCAGCCAGTGAGATACAGCCTGGGACTCTTTTTTTGGGGGGAGGGTTGAGCCAGGAGGACCTCAGCCAGGGTAATGGGATCATGTCATGACACGAGGCCTGTAAACACAGCCAGCGCTCAGGAAAGCTGAGCCAAGAGACTTCCAGTTTCTATTCTTGCCTCTGTCCTCATGCTCTGCCCCCGGCACATCGGCCTGGCCCCACCTTGCAATCTCTGCACGCCTGCACGTCCCAGTCTTTCATTCCATTTTGGGCTCTGCTCGAATGTCTACTTGTGAGAAACGCCTCCCCTGGCCCAAGCCAAAATAACCTCCCCGCACCAGTCCTTTTACTAACACCTCACCAAGCTTGTTATTCTTTGTAAGAATTTTTTGTTCTGTGCACTGCTCTATCCCCAGCACCTGGGAGCGTGGCTGGAAGGCCAGGAATCAATGAGTCAGTTTTCCTGATGAAGAACCTGAAACTCATAGAAGCAACTGTATTCAATTCCTATGGCCACTGTAACAAATTACCACAATGATAGTGACTTACAACAACACAAATTTATTATTTCACAGTTCTGAAGCTCTGAAATCCTAAAACCAAAGTATCAGCAGAGCCCAGGTCTTCCCAGCTCAACCTCCCCAGAAGTCCCACGGCCAGCCGCATCTCCCTGGCCAGCAGTCACTTGCTTATTCCCAACTTGTTACCTTTTCCAGCTTCTATAGGTGGCTGCATCCTGGGCTAAATGCCCCTTCCTCCCTGTTCAAAGCACATCATTCCAACCTCTGCTTCCATCATCACATCGCCCTCTCTCTGATGTTCTGACTCCAAGGTTAGGACATGGACATCTGTGGGAGGCATTATTCCCTACCTGTCAGTAACGAAGCCCATCTGCATGAACTGGAGGAGGCAAAGCCACAGTGGGTCTGTGCCCGCCAGAGTACACTGGCCCCCAGGCAGCCTTGTCTTCTGACTCCATGTCCCTCTCCCCTTAGGGTCCACATTCTTCATCATGCATCCACTTTTGCTTCACTCCTGCAGCCCCTCTGCTTCCTGAAAGCCTATCTTCCTTCCCAACAGGGCATAACTGCAGAAATACACTACAGTGAAGTTTCTATGTTGAGTTTTGCAAATATTATCTCATGTAGCCCATTTTACAGATAAAGAGAGGCTTGATTGAGCATTTGAGGGCCATTTCCAAGGTCATGACAGAACCTAGAATTGAGGTCAGCGTGAAAGGTCAGCCTGAGATAAGGGTACAGCCAAGGCTAGAGCTCACCTGAGGGTGGGTGGAAGTCTAGGGGCTCAGCAGGGAAAGGGGAGACATCTCCCCAGTTTCTCTGGGGAAGAGCATCTTGCCAGCTTCATGTTTGCGGACCTGGCCGGTTTGCAGACCTGCCTCCAAGGGGCTGACAGTACTCTGGCCGACCCCTGGAACCCTAGGACCCCTCGCTGTCCTCCGGGAGCCTTTTTAAGGCCCAGAGGTCGGTCCTAGGCTCAGCCTCTCGCGGGCGGGGACTCCGAGGCCCCGGCACCGGGCCGAGGCGCCCGCTGGGGACGGCCGAAGCCCCGCCCGCCCGCCGCCGCGGACCCCGCCCCGACTGACCCCAACCCCAATTCCCGGCCCCAGCCCCGCCCGCGTTGTGGACGTCACAAAAAAGGCCAAAAGCCGGCGGGCCGGGGAGCGGGCGCGGCCCAGCCCTGCCGCCTCCCGGCGCACAGGCGTCCGGGGCGCTCGCCAGAGCCGGGCGGCCGCGGCCTCCAAGCGCGTCGGAAGCGCCAAGGCGCCTGCGCGCTCGGCCCCCTCCCTCCGGGGGTCCCCTCCGGGGGTCGGGCTCGGGGCGGGGGAGGGAACGCCCCACGTCCCGGCGTGCCCCGCGGGCGGGCGCGCAGGCGCGGGCGGGCCGGTGGCAGCGCGCAGGCGCGGCGCGGGCCGGTGGCAGCGCGCAGGCGCGGCGCGGGCCGGGCCGGGCCGGGCGGGGCTGAGGCCGGCGCGGTGTGGGAGGCGGCGCCCGGGCGGGTGGAGCGCTCGGAGGCCCAGGGCGGCGGCGCCGGCGGCGGTGGCAGCGGCGGCGCAGAGGAGCCAGGCGGCGGCCCCGACCCCGGCGGCGCCCTCCCGGCGGCGGCCCCGCGGCCCGGCCCGTCCCGCGCCCTCGCGGCGGCCCCGGGCCCCGCCGCCGCCGCCGCCGCCGCCATGGCCCGGCCGCTGGTGCCCAGCTCGCAGAAGGCGCTGCTGCTCGAGCTCAAGGGGCTGCAGGAAGAGCCGGTCGAGGGCTTCCGGGTGACCCTGGTGGACGAGGGCGACCTGTACAACTGGGAGGTGGCCATCTTCGGGCCCCCCAACACCTACTACGAGGGCGGCTACTTCAAGGTGAGCTGCGGCCCCGCCGGCCCGGAGACCCGCCCGCGCCCGCCGCGGCTCCGGGAGAGGACGCCCGCCCTCCACGCTCCACGCTCCACCCTCCACCCTCTTTGTGTCTGGGCGGGGGTCCCGGCTCGCCCGGGGAGACAAAGGGACGCCCGGAGCCCGCCCGCGGCGGGGGGGCGCGGCCCTCCCGGGACAGGTTCCACCGCGGGCCCAGACGGGACCTTGGCGGCTGAGCCCGCTTGGAAAACGGCAGCCCTTGCCGGCAGCAGCCCCCAGCGCCGGGCTCTGGCGGCCTCTGCCGCGAGGGTGAAGCCGGGCGCCCACGCCCACCCGCCCCCGGCCGGCCCGGCCCCTGCCAGCGGCCCCGCGTCCCGGCTCAGAAGCCCTGGCCTCCCCCCAGCTGACCTTTTTCAGGTTCCGCTGTGGAGCTGGCTTCCCCTGGCCCAAATCTCACACGCTGGCCGTTTCTTCTGTACTCTGTGGGGTTTCGTCCCAAGTGGCTCCTTGTTGTTGCTGGTAGCAGAGAGCCCCCTCCCTGGAACTGGGTGTGTTTCTGTCTCGTGTGGCAAAGGATTCGGACCAAAATCAGGGCAGCTTTGGGCACCTCAAGACCTGAGCTACAGCCTTGCAGAGCTCAGGACAAATCAGGCGGTCTCCCTGTACACAAGGTGGGGAGTAAGCCCTCAGCCTAGCCACACACACCCCTCCCCGCCCCCATCAGCCTGCAGAGAGCCCAGCAGCTCTGCCATACTCCGTTCTGCCTGGGTAGGGGTAGAAAGCACCACTAGGCCAGACTTCGGCGGGCAGGGCATGGTTCCCATCACCACTAGCACAGATGTCTGTGTTTGCACTTTGAGCTAATGTCTTAGCTGTGCCTGCTCAGTAGCCTGGAGGGAACAGCCTGGCCTGCAGGGGGATGATTCCTGGGTGGAGATTCCCTCTTTGCTGGGGCGGAATGGAGGATAAGTGTGAACATCCCTCCCCTTGCAGAGAACAGATTGGGAGCCTAATTATTTAACCAGCCCCCTTCCTGTCGCCTCTTTGGGGAGCAGAGGTATGAGACTTGGAGCTGCTCAGAGCCAGGATAAGGGCCCCAACCTGAGAGCAGGCCAGATCTCTTAAGGACGGGTACGGTTTTCTGGTGATTTCCTTTCAGTAGGTTGCCAGGGGTATCAGTAGAGCCTCCCAGGCTGGCGCTGAGGGATAATGCTGATTTTTCTAGAGAAGAATGGATTGGGGATGGGGCTCTGCCATAGACTTGGGTCACATCTGCCATAGGGTCTGTCCTCAGAGAAGCCATTAAGGGACCCAGGTCATCCTGAACCCCGACTTTCAACTCCTTCCCCTGGGTTAGTTGGGGAGTTGTAGGGGGAAGACCCACAGGAAATGTGAAAATGCGGGGATTGGCACCATCACTTCCCAACTCCTCCTTTATGCCCTGGGGACAATGCAGAGAGCTCTGGAAAGGTGCCAGTGTTCCCTCCCTGCTGTGTGCTTGGGCCGGTACTATTCTTCCCTGAGCCTCAATTGCCCCGTGATCAAGACATCTCCAAGTTCTGAAAATGGGAGACTTGGAGCTTGGTGGGTGCTGGGTGCAGAGGAGCCTGCCCCTACTGCGCTGAGGAAGCTGCGGCCATCACTTAGAAGCTAAGTTCCAGCTGAGTTCTGAGACCTGAGTTCTAGGCTTGCTCTGTGGTGCTGACAAGTTACTTTCCTCCCAGGACGCAGCATATTCACCAGAGAGCTCAGGGACTTCCCTTAAATACCCCACGTGCCCCCTGCCTTGGAGGGTGAATCTCCAGAGGTGGCAAAGGTGTCCCACCATGTCCCCCAATGCCCCGCTTGGCCCCGAGGGCCTGAAGTCCAGCTAGAGTCCTGATGACGGGCATTGGGGCTGACACAAGCAGCGTCTCCTTGCCTGCTGTGGACTCACCGGCTTTGTCACCAGGTAGTCAGCCCTTCCTGGTGCCCTCACCCTTCACGATGAGCCCTGTGAGTGGAGCGTCCATCAGCAGCCGACTCGCCTCCTCTCTTGGCGCAGCCCAGGAAGGTTTCAGGAGTGATCACCAGGGAACAGCATCAGTTCCAACCCTCTCCATTGCCTCAGACTGGGTCTGAGTATCTGCTCCTGTGCTGGGTCCTGCTGTGTGCTGGTGTGAACTGGCCACACTCCCTGGACCTGGGGTCTTGGGGACAGGATCCTGGGCCGGTACTGATTCCTCAGCAGCAGACTGGAGGACGGGCTCGGTTCAGGTGATCCTGAACAAGCCCAGGGCAGCCTGTTGTGAACCTCACCCCGGGCCTGTGAGGAGTATGGGCAGCAGGCAGTGTCCCTCCGTGTTTTCACATCTGTGGGCAGCCTGGCCTAGCTGAGCCCCCTGCTGTCTGCTCCCCCACTCCCACAGGCACGCCTCAAGTTCCCCATCGACTACCCTTACTCCCCGCCAGCATTCCGGTTCCTGACCAAGATGTGGCACCCCAACATCTATGAGGTGAGCATGCCCCGCCTGACCCCTCTAGTGGGGGTGGGCAGGGGACTTGGGGTCACAGGACCCAGTATGGCACTGACCCTCCTGTCCCGCACAGACAGGGGACGTGTGCATCTCTATCCTCCACCCCCCCGTCGATGACCCCCAGAGTGGGGAGCTGCCCTCGGAGCGGTGGAACCCCACCCAGAATGTCAGGTGAGGCTGGGCTAGGCACACAGCCCCTTCTCCCCCCCACCCCGCTTCCTGTGTCCTTGAACTTCTTGTTCCTGTGGGGTTTCCTCAAGCCTGGAGACACAGACATGGGAAGACAAACCTTGTGGTTCTCAGGGCCACCGTGCTCTATAGTGCATCTGGCCTCCCCAAGAATACTTTGGGGCCCCCGGCTCCACTTCACTGGCCTCCCTCTTTCCTTAACCCCGCAGAGCCCAGCCACCTGCATCCTCACCCTGAATAGGCTGGCTCCTGAATGCAGACACCCTGTCTCCTGGTCCACATGTCCTTTGTCCAGCCCAGGCCATAGTAAAACTTGGTAGCATGAAGGAACCCAGTCACGCGGGGGGTGGGAGGGTTTCAGGGGGAGGCAGGTTGGTTCTCTGCCCACACGCTTCATGTCTGGAAGCAGGGTGTGCAACAGAGTGGGGGAGGAGGCAGGTGGAGAGGCCAGAGCTCAGCCCCCTGTCCTGGGAACCTAAAGCACAGCCAGTGGTGGTGAGAGGCCCATGTCAGTGCCCCGTGGGTGAGGGTGTCTCCAGAAGCTTCCTCGCTCTGAGAGCAGCGGGTTCTGGGCTCCTGTGAGTGGCAGCCACTGCAAGCTATGCCTTTGCTTCTTGCTGCAAGCTAGTCCTGGCCTCCCAGAGAGTGGCATCCCCACACCTTCTGCCCACTGACCCCGTGCTCCTGCAGGACCATCCTCCTGAGCGTCATCTCCCTCCTCAACGAGCCTAACACCTTCTCTCCGGCCAACGTAGACGCCTCAGTGATGTACAGGAAGTGGAAAGAAAGCAAGGGCAGGGATCGGGAGTACACAGACATCATCCGGTGAGGAGGTCACAGAGGGGCTCAACCCACGGGGTGGGGCAACGAGGGATGGTGTGTGTGGCTCAAGGCACATAGTGCACAGAGTGGCCCGCATGTAATGCGTGTGTTAGGTGTGCACATATGTGTTGTCATATATGGGCAGAAAGTCGGGCACGTAAATACCAGGTGTCCACCATCACATCTTGACAAGGCCATGCCCTGTCCCTCTGCTTTGTAACCAAAATACCAGAGACTCCTGGTCCTTGTTCTGCCCAGCTGGCTCCCTGTTACGATGCAGGCAGTGCCTCCTCGGGACAGCAGGCCTTCCTGCTCACGCTGCCTGTAACTAGGGTGTGCAGCTCAACTGTTGGCTCTTAAATGCCGTGTGACCCCACCTCAGCGCGTGTGCAAATGTCCTGTTCCGTGAGCACTCTGTTTCACGTGTCGTTTTGTCAGGGAAATGTTTTTCTTACATTACTGAGATCATGTTTCTGTAGCGTCTTTTCCATTAATAAATCTCAGCTGTGAACCATTTATGTGTATAATTTTGAAATCTGGAGTCATTTTCTAAAGGCAGAGAAGCCATCGTGGAGTTAGTACATGTAGTAGTCTTTCCTAGAAAAAACTTTTCCTGATTCTGAGAGCAACATGTTACTCTGAATTTGCCCTCCATTCTCATTGTAGCTGTTTCCGGCCTTCTCCCTTGTGCAGGCGCGTCCGTGAAGGGGCCTTTCACACACCGAATCTTTGGGTCCCAGGAGCCCAGTCAGGGCGGTTTGTTCACACCTGGCAGCGCTGGGCCTCAGCTTGGTCCCTCAACCGCCTTCTCTTCCTTGTTTTGTTCTGAGAACTGCTGCGGCCAGTGTCACTCTAGCGCAGCGTTCCTGACTTGTTTCGTGGCACACTGCACCATTCATACGGTTTTGTCATGTACTTTCTTAGGTTGTCTCTTGCTTATTAATTAGAAAATAAATAAGCAGTTAGTTACAGCTGTTCCAGACCTGGGTGTTTACACTACGTGGAGGCTTGAGTACACACTAGTTTGCACACAAATGTTTGCAGCAGCTCTGGTTCGCCCAAGGCTGGCGACATCCCAAATGTCCATCAGCCTGGGAAGGGTGGGCTGGTCAGGCTGCCTAATGGCGGCATCTCTACCGTATGTGCCAGAGGAAGCCAGGCTGAAGGAGAACAGACTGCCATCCGGGATGTGGGGAGCTCAGGCGGCATGGCTGTCAGGAGGGGAGTTTGAAAGGTACAGACACCTCTGGTGGGGACTATGCCCTGGGTGTGCGCGGGCAGACCAGCACTGCAGTTGTGTTGCTGATGCTGCAGAAACGCTTCTTAAGAAGGGAACGTGCATTTGCACCCAAGTGTAAATAAGAGTAAAAGCCCCACAACCCTGGTGTCCTCTTGGTGTGCCTTCCCATTGTCCACCTGGACTGTCCCTTCTGCCCTGCCGGTCACGCCGCTCCCAGCCTGCACCACTGGCCTTTGCCCAGAACTGTCTTTCTAGAACATGGTGGAAATGCAGAGGCTCCACCTGTGTAGCTGCTGCTTTCCTTTGCCTCACCACCGAGCTCTGTCCACATGGTGTCATGTGCTTGCTTCTCTCCCCATGTGACATTCCTCTGGTTAGAGCCACGCAGCACTGCTGCTTCCCCTGCCTCCCGGGAAGCTGGTTCCCATGTTTTCTACACACATATGAGCACAACATGTGCATGTACCAAACATGTGTGAGTGCGATGTGTGCTCACTGACGGGTGGCTGTGTCTGTGCACCTGTAGCGGTGTGCGTGAGCACTTGTGCCCGTGCAGACAGGCTCTCAGGCTCAGTGTGCACACGCTAGGCTGCCGGAGGGCTTCTGGGGTCAGCACCTCGCACACATCCTGCAGGTGAGCTGGCCTTTGTCTTTCAGATGCTGCATCGTGAGCTCGTGCATTCTAGACAGGTGTATACCTGTGCACACCAGACAAGTGGGGGATTTTGTGGGGTTGGTGGCCTTGCACATGGTACAGGTGACCTACTGCCCATTTGCATGTGTGTGTGTCAACGGGGTTAACAAGATTTCATGGGTTGACGACCTTGCAGTGTTCAGCCCCGCCTGCTTTGCAGCGCACGCTGGTTTATTTCCATTTCTTTAGCCTTAGGTACAGTTGTTTGAATTCCTCTTACAGGCGTGGCCTGGCTCTCCTGGTTGTATGTGGTAGTTTACATAAGCGGAGTTCAGTGCTGTTTCCTGGCGAGATCGAGATCGCAGAGTCAGTCCTGTGCGTTTTGTCCGCATACCCACACACACCAGGTGGCGGGGCTGTAAGCGGACGGGCGGCCCCTCCTGCTGTGTGCCCCTGCTACCTGATGTGCCCTCCCACTCCTGAGCGGGAGGCCCTCGGCAGGGCTTGGGGGGCGCGGGGCTGGGGTGAGTACCTGCTTGGCTCCTCCAGAGGGCCCTACCCGTGTGCCCAGCTGCCTGCCCCAGTTCTCCTGGCTGCCTCCCACGTGGCACCAAAATAAAAACCAGTCTATTTTTATCCTCAGCGCTCCCTGTGGGCCAGCGCACATGTGCCACAGGAGCGGGCGCGATGGCAGCGCCGTGCTGACTGCTCACTCCCGGGGCTGTGCTCCCGTGGTGCTGCTGCTGCGGCGATGGAGCCTCTGCTGCTCAGAGGTCTCAGCACCTGCTGGAACTTTGAGGTTCCAGTTTCAGACATAGTTCATGCCGAGACGTTGGGTGTGTGCCCCCCGGTAGGAGCTGCTACTCTGTGCCCCTGCCTGTTCCCCGTCACCATGAGAAGGCTTTCCTGGCCTGCCAGCCCCTCACGAACGGCAGTGTGCTCCACCGGAGAGCGGCAGGCTGAGGAACACAGTAATGGGGCGTCTGATGCGGCTTCCTGGGTGTGACTCTATTCTCCCGCTCCTGGGCACTCCTCGGCCCCTCCCTGTGCATCGCCACCCCCGCGCAAGCTTTCCCTGTTAGGAGGGCTGGCGGGCAAGGAGAAGTGCCCTGCTCCACGTCCGCGGTAGCAGACTGCAGCCCGCCCCTGCCGACGGCCCGTCTGGGAGGTTAAATGGTCGTTTGGTGCAGCACTTGGACCTAGCCTGGCGGCGCCTGCCCTATGGGATGCCGTGTCTCAGGATCACGGTGGAGGGTCCCTGCGTGCAGAGCTCTTCTGCCTGCGGGGCCCCCTGCGGCCCCGAGCATGCCCCCTCCCTGTCCTGGCGGCCTTGCGTGCCAACTCCCGAGAGCTCTGCCTGCTCACCTTCTTCCCATTGGAGGGACGACAGGCTCTTCCTACCTGCTGTGAGACCCCGTGGGGACAGGCCTCTGTGGTGCTGAGTCCCTGCCCATCTGTCCCCCCAGGAAGCAGGTCCTGGGGACCAAGGTGGATGCGGAGCGGGATGGTGTGAAGGTGCCCACCACGCTGGCCGAGTACTGCGTGAAGACCAAGGCCCCGGTGCCCGACGAGGGCTCAGACCTGTTCTACGACGACTACTACGAGGATGGCGAGGCCGAGGCCGAGGCCGACAGCTGCTTCGGGGATGATGAGGACGACTCCGGCAACGAGGAGTCCTGACACCACATCCCCCGAATAAACTTACAAATTTTACCTCACCAGGCCCAGACTGTGTGGGCTTTTGGGGGCTCTTGACGCCAAGACTACCTCACAGGAGGTGTGTGTGCGGTCCCCTCGGGTTCTTTCCTTATTCTCACCTTTTCCTGTTTGTTCTGGATTTTCCTCTGCTTCGGTGAGGGGGCCGCTGCCACGTGTCCCTCTGGCCCTCCTGTGCTGGTCACCTGACGCGTGCCGGTCCACAGGGCCCCCTGGCCAGAGCCAGAGCTTGGAGTCCCAGCTCTCAAGTAGACACGCTCACTTCGGTCACCTCTTTCTGCTTTGGTTTGTTTGGAATCTAAATAAAAGGACTTTATGAGAAGCCAGAGAACCAACCACTCCTTGAGCCGCCCAAGGACTGCAGAGGGCGGCTCGTCCCAGGCCCTGCCTGCTTTTGTCCCCATACCAGATGTGCTCGCGCGCCTGAAAATTCCCCAGCCAGGTCGGTGGCAGGGAGCCATAGAGATTGGGGTTCTGGTCAGAAGGAAGCCCCGCTGTCCCCGGGGCCCTGTTGATGGGACACCTCCCAGGGCCACCTGCAGATGTGGTCACACCCAACATTCCCCAGTGCTGGGGGCCTTGCTGCCAGGGCAGGGGAAGCCATTGTCACTTGGGTGCTGTGTGACTGAAAAGTCCAGAGCGGGCTACAAGCGGGTTGAAGTGCCCTCAGAGGATCCCTGAGGCTTGAGGTCACAGTGAACCAGACTGGGGCAAGGTCTGACCTTGACGAGTCCCTGTGCCTGGAGCCCGGACGACCTTCCACCGGTGGAGATGGGCTGAAGGGGTAGGAGGTTCTCCCCAGGAGGCCACAAACCAGGGGAACCCATCGAGGGCCCAGGAAAGCACCATTAGCCCTGAGTGCCCACTGAGCTCCGGCCTGCACACAAAGCTTTCGCCTTCCATTTCTTTATAACAGCATTTTCCTGTATTAAAACGGAAGGTTGTGCACAGATGTCGTAATGTCTGACTCTTAAACTTGGAATGCTGGCTGGTGTGGGGCCCTGAGAGTGCCCTGGACAGAACGTGCTCTCTTGACCCTTACCTGGGTCCTGTCTGAATGGAGCGGGCCTCCCGGGCAGCTCCACGGTCATCCCTCCTCCCAGTGTCGCTGCCTCCACTGCCAACGCCCTGTCCTCCGGGCGTGTGCGGCGGAGCTCCTGGCCCTTGTGGCATCCAGAGTTCCATGGGACCAGGCCTCCCTGGTGTCCAAGGTCTGGGGATGTTTCCTCTGCCTCCTTTTCTGGCCCAAGGACTCTTTCTCAGTGAACTGAGCTCCACTGCACCCTGAGAGCAGGAGGGGGCATCACCCAAAGTGGGAGCTACTGTGGGTCATGCAGGTGCATTTCCTGTGAACCCCACAAATGATTGACCACATCAGGGAGGCTGCGGGCACAGGGACTTTGGGCCCAGGAGACCTGTGTCTTCACAAACCAAACCTGTCACTGCCCGTTCTATGGGTGGCAGCCACGCTCATGTCTTCACCTGTGTCTGGCTGCTTTGACATGTGGCATTGGAACTGAGTAATTGTTATAAAAAGCCAAAAATATTTGCTCTAAATCAGCCCTGTAGCTGGAATGGAGCATGTAGTTAGTATGAGTCATGTGGTCTGGGAAGGAGTAGAGGGCTACCGCCCCAGGAGGCCCAGCCCCCTGCCCCTCCTGCCTCACCCAGGCAGGTGTTGCCAGCCTGGGTGTCACCGCACTCTGCCCCGGAACCTCGCTGAGATCCTCAGATTTGTGTGCACACACGTCCCCAGAGCCCACGGCACACAAGTGTTCGTGAGATCTTTATTCATAACAATCAAAAATTAGAAACAAATACTCATTGACAGATGACCAGATAGACAACATGTGCTCCATCCACCCACTACAGTGTTCTTCAGCCTTAAAAGGGAATGATGTTCTGCCGCATGGATGGACCTGGAGGGCAGGACCCCGAGTGAAAATAGCCAGACAAAAGGACAAACACTGTGACCCACTCACACGAGGACCCTAGAGGAGCCACATCGTGAAGACGGGAAGTGGATGGTGGGTGCCCGGGGCTGGGAGAGGGACGGGTGTTTAATGGAGATAAGAGTTCCAGTTTGGGAAGGTGAGAAAGTTCTGGAACTGGAGAATGGGGGTGGCTGCAAAACTGTGAATGCGCTTACTGCCCCTGAGCTGAGCACTGAAAAATGGCCAAGGTGGTACATTTTGTTTGCATGTGTATCCACAACAAGAAAAGGGGGCAAAGAATCACATGAAAATGACAAAAAAAAAAAAAAGAACCATCTATAAGATGGGGTTCTGAACTTGGTGGAATGTTGAATGAGGAGTTTTTGTTAACTTTTGGGATGTGATAAATGGTTCCCTGTTTTTGTCTGAAGAGACTGTATCTTTTAGAAACACTCCGAGATGTCTTGTGTGAGTTACAGTGGGGGGGAGCATGTGCAGGGCTGCATCACTGCCCCTGGCAAGGAGGGGTGGGGGCCCCTCAAACCCACTGCTGCTGCTGCTGGCCCTGGGAGTCCTGGAGGCAGGTGAGTGGAGTGGGGTCAGAGGGGAAACAGCCCTGAGCTTTTCCAGGGGTGGTAGATGGAGCCCATCTCAGAAGAGATTGGAGACAACCCCACTGTCCCCAGAAGGGAGCCAGTGACAGATGGGCTAGGGTATCTCTTGAGAGAAACTAGGGGATGGGGACGGGTGAGGAAGGTGTGGAGAGGGCTGCTGATGGGCATGGGGTTTCTTCTGGGGCTCTGGAAAGCTCTGGAGCCAGCTGGGGTGCGGGGCACACCGCTGAGCTGTAAACACGGGTGAACATCGGGGCAAGCGAACACAGCTGCTGTGTGACCATGTCCAAGCAGGGCGGTGGGGTCAGGCAAGTCACTTTATGGCACTCGTGAAATTTTTTTAATTTTGACATAATCTCACACAGAAGGCACAAGAATCCTACACGTCACTCCCGTCCTCCTGGCTTCCTCAGTTGGAAGCATCTTGATAGTTGCCCTGTCACCACCATCGCCTCTACCCCCTGCTGCGTGTGTAGCTTATTAGGTTTTCTGAGCTGAGAGTGAGTCGCTGACATTCTGCCCCTTACCCAGAGACACTTGGGTGTGTGTTTTCTGCAAATAAGGAAGTCACACGGCTTTAGTGTGCTTCTCGATGTTCGTGCATTCCTGCGTGCTGTTGCCTCCTTCCCAGGCCTTACTCAGAGCGTGCTGATTGTCCCAGTAACCTCCTTTGTGGGGACAGACACCCAGCACAGAGTGCTCTCTGGCTGCTCCACCCTGGGCGGCTACCCTTCTCCCCCTGGGTGCAGACCTGTCAGCTGTGGCCTGAGATGGGGTTCAAGTTGTGCATCCATTTATGCATCCTTTCATCTATCATCCTCCATCTACCTCCCAATTCATCCTTTTCTATCCCCACCCACGATCCACCCACCCATGCATCCAACCTGCCCACCTCTGCCGAGCACACGCTGTCCTAGGCCTTCCCTTGTGTTGATGATAAGACTGGTGAGGGGGCCGATTGGGCAGCGAGTGAGTCTGTGTGGTGCAGTATCAGAGGGAGGCATGCCACCAAGGGAATAGCAGAGATAGCCGGGGGCCGGGTTGCATTGAGGAAGTTGTTGGGGGCGGGGATCGCTGAGGAAACCCTTGAGCACATACCCAGTGAGGGAGTCAGACTTGGGAATGTCTGGGGAGGAGGAACGCGAGGCTTCTGAGAGAGCACACGCAGAGGCCCTGAGGTGGGCATGAGGGCAGCGGACATCTGGCTGGAGTGGGTGGGAGGGAGCGTGAAGGAGGTTGGCAGCGTCGGTGGATGTGCATCTCATCAGTCAATTCTTTTAAACCCATGATTGTCTTTCTTTTTTAATTCTTTCAACTGCTTTCTTGAGATGTAATTCACATATTGCACAGTTTACCCATTTAAAGTGTACAATTCAGCGAATTTGTGAATATTCAGAGTTGTACAACTACCACCATCATATCTAATGCCAGAATGTTCTATCACCCCAAAAAACCCTTTCCCTCCAGCCCCTGGCACCACTCTCTGCCTGTGGCACATGGACGTTTCTCATCAGTGGACTCACACCGTGTGGCCTCGGGTGTCTGGCTTCTCTCCCTGAGTGTCGTGTGTTCAGGGCCCTCCCTGTGGTCACGAGTGTCAGAGCTGCCCCCCTTTTCCCGGCCAGTGATGCTCCCGTGCATGGCTAGACTATTTCCACCTTTGGGCTGTTGTGACGTGTGTGTGTACAAGTTTTGTCCAGACGTGTGTCTTCATTGCTCTTGGAGCAGAATTGCTGGGCTGAGCAATAATTCCGTTCAAGCCTGACCATTTCCACAGCAGCCGCACCACCTCACGTTCCAGCCTGCAGGTGTGAGGGTCCAGCTTCCGTGACTACAGAGTAGGGGCTATGCTGGTGCCCAGAGGAGGTTCAGGGGGGGCCAGAGGAAGGGATGGAGTGCAGGTGTCACTTGCTGGTGACTGGAGCTCAGGACAGGGAGTGGCACCTGTCCACCTAAGCATCTCAGGGAGCAGAAAGGACATGTTAGGGACCCAAGGCCTCAGAACATAGTGGGAGGTGCTTGTGGGGGAGTGGGGGCACCCAACCCTAACGTGGCTCCTCCCTAGAAGGCAACACATTTGAGCCCACACCACCGGGAGTCAAGAGGCAGCCCCCACTCCCACACATACTTGGTTCCCCTGCAGAAAGTAGGAGCCCATCTGTGGGGGCTTCTTCGTGCAACCCACAGTAAATGACAGCAGCCGCAGCGCCTGACTAGTCGTGAGTGACACTGCTCTGGCCAACCTTCCACCCCAGGAGTTCCTTGGGGTCCGTCATAGGCTGCTGTCCTCACCAGATAGGATTTCTGAAGATTTAAAGCTGTGGTAGGCACATGTAAGTGATAATGACCTTACGCAATTGCATGTGACATTAGGCTATGGGAATATCTGAGGAAAATTTACTTGCTACAATAAAGCACCTTCCAATTGATGGAGCTGGGCTTCTGTCATACCCA